GTGAGTAGCACACAACGCTTTCTGTGAAAGGCGTAATTTTCACTGGGACTGCAGCATGCAGTGAGGGGAGGTTTATTTAACACTTCATCCAGTGTGGTCCCCTTAAAAATCCCCCCATAAGGCAATTACCTTATGGGAGGGATGCTCCTGTTGACAGCAGTGGCTCCCCCCCCCCTTCAATCCCAGTAGGAAGCCCCTGGAGTGACCTATAGAAATCCACCACCACTCCAAGTAGAGGCTGGATTGGAGGTGATGGAGTGAGGGGAAATGCTATGGCATACCAGGTTGCTGTGTGAGTTTGTCATGTTGTGGTTTTATCCAGCACAACCCCAATGTCTGTGTATTGTGAAGCATGAAATCACAGAGGGAGGGGGGGGAGCTAAATCTTGTAATTTTGCCATGCATGCCCTTCCGTTCCCTTGCTTTAGACTCCTTCAGAATTTTCAGAAGTCATTCAGAATTTTCTGTGGGTCTTCATGGGTAGCCAGCCCAGACTGGTAAGCCCAGCATTAGCAAGTGGATTATCTTCAGCTATTCAGTGTGCATTGTTAGCCGAGAGAGAGAGAGAGAGAGAGAGAGAGAAAAATTTCCCTTTTTTTCAAAGACAGAGCTATATCCTGTGCTCGGTTTCAAGTGGATGATTTCTGCTTCTATATATTCCCTTTAGAGATTCCTAAGAAAGGAGAGAAATTGTCCTATTAGCCTCAAATTATAAAGAGGCAGTACTCTAATGAATGTTGCTCTTTCCTAGGCTATGGAGGCCATTTAGAAAACGTTAGTTAAAAGGAACGGGTGGGGGTAAAACAGGAGAAAAATCAGCTGCAGTTTGGAGCTGGATAGACGGATGAGGCTAAGTTATCCCTGTATCTCTGCTTGCCAATGAATACCCACAGTTAGAACAGGGGCATACAGCCAGACTTATGTAAATTCAGGTGCAGCTCCTGAGCACACAGAACAACACATACATACAGCTGATTCCAAAGAAGTAAACTGCAAGCTGACAGGCATCTCCTTCAACTCCATCAAGTGCAGTTAGAGAGATTGCACAGAGCATCCATTAGGAAGGAACAAGGCCTCTGGGCACCCAGAAGATGCAGAATGTGACTAATCAAATCAAAACCTGCAGACATCGTTCCTTGTATAGCCTTGGCTCCTGGAGGGGCATACAAGGACTCTTGGGACCATCTCTTCTCTGCAGTACAGGTGAAAAACATGACATGAACATCTGCAACTATTAGAAACAAATTCTAGAGAAGTAGATGCGTTGGTACGTAGCTGTAAAAATAACAAGTTTTGTGGCTCCTTTAAGACTAATAAATTGATTGTGACATGAACTTTTTGTAAGCATCCTTAAGGATGTGGAAATAGATGAGTTTGTTGTGTGTGCATGTGAGTCGGGAGGTAAATAGATAATCCACCCATACATAGGACCAGTGAATGAGTGAGGGGGACTATCTTGCAAGGTGAAATTATAACAGGAATGAACACATGCAAAAAGCAGAACTGCTATGCATGAACCAGTGATCTGAAGCAAAAACGATTTGGTCACAGGGTGTCAACAAACCTATGAATGAGTCTGGTTATTGCAGGTTGGATCTCAGTTTGCATATACCAGGTGTGAGATTAGCATGTATCATGGTGTGTACCAAATTAAACAAATGAACAAAACAATAAAAATCCACTATAGCATCATAAAATTACAAAGTACAGTGTCAAGTGACCTACAATGAATAAAATCATTTCTCTAAAAATGCTTGACAGAAGAATAACCTTTTCATTAAAGGACAAAATGTGAGAATTGTAGGTGCCTGTTTAATTTCAATAGGAAATATATTCTAAAATGCTGGTGTCACTATGCTTAAAGTCTTGGTTTGAGTAGCAGCCCATCAAATGTATGGCAGTCAGGATGGCTTCTCCATGTGTTTACTTTGCTTTCACCGCTGAATAAGGAGGAAGCTGGACCCTCAGGTAAAAATTACACTGGGCCTCATCTGCATGTCACAGTAAACCATAGTAAATATTGCCTGCTTTGCTCCTCCTTGCTAGCATACAGGAGAAAGAAACCAGGATCCTAAGCTAAGTGTTGAGTCCAAACCAGGGATTGTGGTTTGTTTTGCTCCAAATTAATCGGAATCAGTAAGTAAATAGCAAACCATGATCCCTAATTTTGACATAACACTAAGCCAGAAATTGTGGTTTAACGATTAACTATGGTTTACCAAAACCCTGAGCCATTGCCATCCTATAGTGATTAAGTCAATGAAAGTCTTAGGTGACTGCAGGCCAAACTAGACATGATTTTAAGTGTGCAAATGCATTCAACATGCACATTTTATGGTATGAAAAAAGGAGCTGAGGGGAAGCTTGAGCAGTTTCAGGACCATTGGCAGCTGAAACTAGCTTTTTTCTTTTCCTGCCTTAAGTCTAAACAAAAATGACCTCTCTGAAGCTATTATTTGCATTGCAAGGGAAACCTCAACTGGAGTGAAACAAAAAGCTTGTGTTACTTGCCCATATGAAGGTTTTTCTTTGCATCTTTGTAAACTTAGAAACTTGGACCCATTCCATCAGCAGACATTACATGTTCATTGGGATCCCACTTCCAGCTTTACTTCTGTGACCCATTAAAACCTGTGGTTGTTTTGGTATTAAGTTCTTGCATTCAAGGTTGTAGAAAATTGCTGCTTTAAAAAAATCAATTTCATAAGTCTTTGAACAGTTGGTTTTGCAAAGCTCTGGGACTTGTTCTTAACCTTGGAAAGTTAAACAATAGCGGCCACTTTTTTTTCTGTAAGCTTTTCCTTGTTCCCTCCTTTTTATACATTTTCCCCATTTTTCAGAAACCTATGTGTCATTGGCCTTAAGTATACATTAAGAACATTGGACACCCCCAATCAGGGGATTATCAATACTCTTACTTAAAGGAATCACTGAGACGCCTTTCTAAAACCCGACTGTCATTTCTAAGTAAAACACCAGTTGATATCAAAGGGAATGTAGTCCTTGGATAGACATATATTCACATCTGCATCCACAGGGACTCTGCTTGCATTTGTACATTACAGAATCCCTTCATAATATTTACTATCAAATGTGTTTGTTACAGTGTTCTTTTCTTCCACATCTATATTCATACCGACCAGGTGTGTCTTCTGAAGTAGATGTGATTAGAATAACATAATTGAGCCATCTCTTTGAACATAATGTGAACTTCAGAAGCAATCAAGCTGATTGTAAGCAAGCCTCCATCTCTGGCCTCTGCAGAGAAAGAATCTTATGGATGGGGGAGAAGGACTCTTTTGAGGGGGGGAGCCCAGCAAAATCTAGATGTAGACCAGCTTCCTCTAGGCCAGCTCAACACTCTCGTTTCAAATTTTATTTTGTTACCTTTCTTTTAATTCCTTTGTCTCAGTTTGCCCCTAAAAGAAGACCGTGCATAAGCAAATATTTGGTCCAGTCGTTTACCCTCTCCTACTGAGCAGGCGGTATGGAAAGTGAAATAATCTCTCCCCCCCCGCCCAACACACACAGACTTTTTCTCAAAGCCCTTTGACTGACTTGCTTGAAACAATTACACAAACTCAAAATATCTCTGGCATTAAAATTGGACAAAAGGGAGATATAAAGGGGCATTCTAGGCTGCTGACACATTCTGATTTAACTACAAAGCCTCAAGATAAATACCAAGCGATGCTTTGAATAGCAGATGCTTTTGGAACCCATCCAGATTACAAAATTATCTGGACCAAGCTATAGCTGTTACTAGATGTCTCGAGGGAAGCCTCCTAGCTAGGACTTGTGGACATAACATCTTTAAATAACCCTGCCTAATTAAGGCCTTTCCCCCCTGGTATTTGGGAATCAGGTGATACATAGTAGATGTAGCCCATCAATCTATTGGGAAGGGGAGGAGAGGAGTGGGGAGCAGAGCGATTCACTATAGTAAAGAAGAGATTCACATGTTCTCTAAACAAAACATAGATTTAACTGTGGAACAGAGAGGCAAGGATCAAGAATAAATTTGTCCTTGTTATCTGAACTGTTCTCACCTTGCTTGACAGGTAGTTTTCTCGTTCCTTAGTTCAGTTTGTCACTGAGCATTTTCATTACAATAGGCATTCTTCCACCTATTACCTGGGGCTAATGAGAGTCCTAGCAGTGCGCATGACAATGCAGAATAGATTTTTTTCACTTATTCCATTCAATTATACTGACCGATCTAGTTTTTACTGTCCAAATGACCATATAAGAAACTCACCTCTGCTTATTTTTTAAAGAAATGCTAAGAAGGAGCTAAGGAATTATGAATAGCACTAAAGTGGGGAGGAAAGTTTGCTGCTGCTTCTGGACATTGTTGCCAGTGTCAAATGGTGTGTGTGTTTTACAATTGCTTCAGAAGTGCTCAGCTATTCAGAAAGCATTGTCCTCCCTCTGAATTTAATAGTTTATGCCCTTGGTGATGTCCGTATACTACCAAATTTGACCGGCTGAGTCAAATGCTGTGTGACATCATCTCATTGCTGTATGAACCCCCATTGTCTAGAAATGCTATATTACTGATCCAGGAAAATGTTGCTGCTGTATAATTAGTAGAAAAATGTGGTGCCAAAGCAGCAGCAAATAGGGGAACTAATGGCAATGAACGGGGTTGATAAAAGTTGAGCATTCACAATTCACACACTAAGAGCCTTATCAGGAAATAATAATAATAATAATAATAAATTTCTACACCGTCCATTATATTTCTGCTTCCCCCCCTCTATTCAGGAAAGCACAACTTTTGACTTGAAAATCAAAATGAGAGAATAATTGGAAAGCTTTAGTTATGACTGAGTTGGAAATAGGGACATGTAGGTAATATGTCTGGTCATCCAGCTTTTGAAGGAGAACTGGAGCTATCTTAAGGGGCAGAGCAGGTTTACTCCCTGCTTCTCATTCCCCACCATGCATGTGGGACAGACATCATCTGATCAGGCCACATATCTGACATTAGATGGAAAGGATCAAAGCCCATTGGTAGGGCATCTGTTTTGCATGTAGAAGGTTCAAGGTTCAATCCCTGGTATCTCCAGGTAGGGCTGGGTGTCATCATCTGTCCCCTCTGACAGAAACCCTGGAGATCAGCTGCCAGTCAGTGTAGACGGTGCTGAACTGTATGGACCAGTGGTCTGACTCGGTGTAAGGCAGCTTCCTGCATTCCTAATATGTGAGCAGGTCATAAATTCCCAGTGACAGGAAATTCATTTAATACTTCATTGTTAACATGCGAATTCATTTCATACAACTGCGTGCATATCAGGGGAAGGATGGACAAATAAACAACAATGCACAATTAGACTTTTCAGATCGGAAACAGGGAGGGATTTTCCAGATTGTGACTAATATCCACACGCTCAAATTATTTGACATATCTTTTATCTTTGCAATTGTCCCCTTGGGAACGACGTGATTGGTTTCATCTCGTGTGCCTTAATTTGCTTTCCTAGCAGACTGTGGCTTTGCATCTTTGTGACCTGACCCACATAATAGCATGAGCAAATTAGAGTTTTGTTTGGCTTGATTATTTCATTCAGTCATTTTCTCCTCGGTGCATTTGGTCATTCTGCTCAATGAGTGCCCATGAGAACGTTGCTTGTAAACTCCAGTATCAAGTTGTAACCAGAATTATTTTTCCCATCACTTCCCGTGTGGGAATCTCCCCCTATATTTTACCTGTAGAATCTGTCCTTATATAACATGAAAACCAATCCACTGAGAAAAGGTAAAACCTAGCCACTCTTGTAGGTTCTGTTATTTGTTACTCTTCTCTCACAGAGGAGTATATCGTATATTAAGGAAAATGCCTGTCCATCTTTCCCCAGAGATTCCTTCTTGCCGCCTTTATGTTTGCTGTGTTCTGTTTTTCCTATCGAGTTGTTTCTTGACAGTTTTGATACTATCTGAGATTGAGAGACAATTATATTTATTCTTTCTTAGCTGCTATGTCTGCATTTTCCACCCAGTGACTTACTTTTAAAGTGCTGCCGCCGTGCTGGAGTGGTCTTTAAGCTGATACTGTGCACAGCAGTGCATATCTCTACAATAAATTTCTCTCAATCTATGCCCCGCCAGACACCCATCTCTTTACTCTGCTTCTGTAAGTGGAGGAGCCTGCCTGTACTGTAAGATACCATTAATCCATTCTTGAGCAACACAGCATGAGTGACATCTCCGCGCAGTCAGATTAATTGTTTTAGTCCTTGTTTTAAGGCCAGGATGTCCAATTCAGAGACGGCCTCCAGCTTGCAGCCTGCAAGGTATCTTCAGGGCTGATGGGCAAGGGTGGGAATTAAAGTAGCATAAGAGCTCTTCACCTGTCTGTTTTCCTCGTTACAGATTACAGTTTTGAATGGCTGCTGCAGCCACTCGGAGGAGCTGATTGATGTCTCATTGTGTTTTCAATTTTTGTCTCCCTCTCTTTCTCTTTAAGAGTAAAAAGGACCGTATGAAGGCTTGGATAAGGGCACGCCTCCCCACCTGGTGCAAAGAAAGAGATTCCTGGTCTATCTACATCTTCGCTCCTCAGTCTAAGTAAGGCAACTTAGTGTGATTGATAACACTGTGGCAGGCAGGGCTCCAGGATTCTGTGCTCAAATAAATATTTGCAGAGCATGGCAGTTGTAGAATTCCCGCAGACTTAACAGTTGCAAGGGGAACCGGAAAAAATGTTGCCAGCTGAAAGATTTGAACTTGTGCTAATGTCCAATGGCGGCCAGCACCTCTTGAAATCAATTATTACATTGTGTAGCATTAGCTGCTGGCCGTCAACATTGTGGAGGGGCAGTGGGTGGTATCCAACTAATACTTGTTTCATCAGTGCAAGGATTTCTGCTTGTGCAACAAAATAGATTCTGAGGTTTCTCCAAACCCTCCAGAGCAGATTTGGGCAGTGTTTGTGGCACTAACAGGGAACTTCTATTGTATAAGCAGAAATCCTTGCACTGGCATAATGAGTTAGTTGGATACCGCCCTCTAGCTCAAAGGTAGAGCACTTGTTTTACATGTGGAAGATGCCCTGATCTCTGGCAACTCCAGTTAAAAGGATCAGGTACCAAGTGATGGGACCCTGGAAAACTCCTACCTGTCAGAGTAGATCATTCTGGCAAGAGTGTGTTCCTTTAACGTTCATTCATATAGCCAGAAACAACAGCAAGAGAAACTAAAGTGATTACATGCAGGGATTAGTGTTTGCAGACCGAAACATTTGCTTTAACAAAAATAATTATAATTTTTGCTGCAGTTGCTATTAACAAATCCATCTTAAGTGTGACTATTTTCTGCTTTCTACTCAATAAACCCTCACGATGTTGTTGTTTTATAAGTCAACTAGTAAGGAATTCTGCATTAGATAGATGCAAGGTCTCCTCCCTGCAGTACCTCTGTAGCATCAGCCATACATTTTGGGACTGGTAGCAGTAGTGATTTTAATGTGATTTCAGTAAGTATAATTGTTTGAATACCACCCCTTATTTTTACTTTGCCCATTGGCCTCTCATACTCTCAGTTGCTACCCTATCTTCACATGTGTACCTGAAAGATTTGCTTTTTGAATGTGTAAGGGTACAAATTACACTTCCTGACCTCAGAAAACACACACACACACACACACACACACACACACACACACACATTTCTGCATGGTTGGTTAATCTGGCCATGTCTTTGACTAGGCAAGTCTAGAGCAGTGATGCATTCAGGCACACGGTGGGCAGCCTCTTCTGCAGTAAGTCATTCAGCAGCACACACTACACATCAGGAGCTCATTAATAATCCTATTGCACCCAATGCAGAAACACTGCCAAACTGATTAGCCATCTCCAGCAGAGGCCAAGTAGAAGGCGAGTCCAGGCGAGAGTGGTGAACTGTACAGAGCCACAGCAGACAGCCTCCTCTATGAACTCACAAGAGCTATTCATTGATTCATTGACTGATTGATTGGTACATTCCTTGTGGCACACTAGCAGTTTTCTCAGGCATGTAATTTTGGGATGATAATAATAAGGTATAACAAACAACTAAAAAAAAAGTGTGATGTTCCCAACAGAAGATCTTTCTGAGAGTGAGATGCCTTGAAATAAGCTTCGCTGGGAAAAGTTTGAGAGAAAAATTATGCCAACAAATCTCTGTTCCTGAACAATTTGAAATATCTGCAGTTATATTCTAATGAAAGAAATGTGTAAGAGTGGGGATTCAGTTTCCCAAGAGTGGGGCTGGGGCAGAGGGGATTGTTTCAGACATTTGGTTTAGAAAGAAATGGCAGTCTGCATGCTTAAGGCTTGTGATGACAACTAATTCCTAAGTCGTCTTTTCCTCTTCCCTTTCCTAGATTCCGTGTGATATGCAATAAAATAATTACTCACAAGATGTTTGATCATGTCGTCTTGGTAATCATCTTTCTGAATTGCATCACCATTGCGATGGAACGTCCCAAAATTGAGCCACACAGTGCTGTGAGTAGTCGCCAAGCCTCATTGCTTCCTGATGGTTACCAGCTTGCTGAGCAAATCAAGCTGTATTCTTAGCAATGTCTGCTCTTGCCTTCAGTCTCTTTAGCCATGGTGTTGGGAGGGGGCTAATCTCAGCTGGTTAAAGGTGAATGCATGCATTTAAGTTAAAATACTGGGTCTTGTACTAGTTTTACCAAGAGATCAAAGCACCTGTGGGCAATCACCTCAGCACACCCTCTCTCTTTGGTGATCTAGAGATGATTCTATTTCATGAACAGCCTGAAGTCTGCTGCAGTTTCCCTGTAGCTTTTGTAACATCACGAAAAAGTAACACTGGAAGAATGAATACAGTTCCTCAAGGAGAAAACTTCCTTTTTCAACATCACTTGCAGAATTTTGCTTTATGCAACCTTAAGAGGCTTGTGGCACCATAAAGCCTTTCACTGACTAGAGCCCACTTCATTGGATGCATCACTCTGATTGAATTGTCACAGGAAGTCCTTTCTGCATTCTATTGCCATATGTCTCTAGCTTTAACTTAGTTATGTACATATTTTCCCCCTTACACAGTATGTATGTATAATTACATACCTAATGTAAAGGAGTGCCTCTCCCTTTATGAACATGGCCATGAAATTTGTAGAAGAGACCTTTCTGGAGATCCATATATATTGGTATATAAGACAACAACTCAAGATAGGGCCTTTTCTGTAGTGGCACCCAACCTATATGGAACTCCCTCCCATCAGAAATGTATCTGGTATCTACTTTGTATGGAATTTGATGCCAAATGAAGACATACCTCTTCAGGTCACTTGGTAGTGCTTGATCAGTGTTGCCCAACTGTAATGGCAGAACTGCTTTCTGCTGTTGGCTTAGGATAGATTTTTGTACTAGTTCTAACACATTGTGTTTTGCAGTCTTTGTAGCTACATAATAAATATTTATTAATATTTCATTATTGACTTAATTAAATGCAGAATAGTTATTTGATAACTTCATTGTTTATGACAAAGGACATAATTTAAATTTATTGTATGAATAAATGAATCAAAATAAAGATTACACTCCATGCATCTGATGAGGTGGGTTCTAGTTCACGGAATCATTTGCTGTAATAAAAATGTATTGGTCTTCAATGCACAAGACTCTTTGTTGCCCTTCTAATATGACTGTTTCACACATTTAAAGGGATGAGTGTTTTCAAATACCCATACTTTGCTTCACTTCTGCTATTCCTCCACGTGTTGAGAAATTCATGGCAGCCTTCCTAAGATAAGCTTTTTTAGGAGGAGAGGGGGCTAGAGACATCGTGTCATCCTAATATGTTTCCACCCCTCACCGTACAAATGTACATATTTGAGCAGGCATTATGGGGTCACAGAAGCAAGCACACAAGCAGTGCTAGTATCTAAGCAACATTGGCACCAAACTTCTACTTTCAGTGCTAAGGTAAAACTGCCTTCAATTCCCTCCTTGGCAAATCCTGTTCGTCGGCTGCCTGGCACATCTGGCCATTACAGATGCACAGCTGACCTCCAGATTTGCATTTATGTGGAATTTGCTGCTGCTTGTCCTGCTGCCA